TAAGCCAAGGGTACCCATCGCGTAGAGTACTACCGAGTGTATTTTATTATGCTGTTCATTTGCACAATTTACTGGCTACATGACCCGGTAATGAACCGAGAGGATCACTCGGTACAATTAGCTTGCCTCATTGCTTTTGATAGTTTTCGGGATTTCCAACCAGTAACAGCTTGTCGTAAGGGGGAGTAAGTCAGGATTCTTTGTCTTTGGGCTGCTATGCTACATGGTGATAGATAAATACATGTCATCAAGTGTGTGGTAAGGTTGCGAGAGTATGAGTGTTGTGTGAGGATATTATATAAATTAAAAATGTTGACAGAGTGAATAGGTAAACAAGAATGTGACGTTTAAGTACAGTAGTGTAGTTGTTGCTGGGTAAGAAGGTTCGGGCAGTCTTAGTATTGTAGTGCTAGGGCTATGTGTTTATCTTGTCGTCCTATGTACCTATATATTCAAGTCCTGCATCAGTTATAGGTGTGTGAAGAAAGAATGATACTGATCGGTCACCAGTGTCAAGTCATTATAGCCTGTCCAGGAATGAAATGGAGCTAAGTCTGTTAGTGGAACGCTCATAGCGTAACGTATGAGCCTATTTAATGGAGCTCAAGGTGAAACCCTCTCTATAGCATAATTTGCGGGATATTTCCCCCAGAATTATGGCACATTATACATTATATATATATATATATATATATATATATATATATATATATATATATATATATATATATATATATATATATATATATATATATATATATATATATATATGTATATATACATACATATGGATATTGATAGCTATAGATACAGACATATCGGAATTTACATAAATCGGAATTGACATTTTTATATACATAATTAAATCCATATATATATATACATATCTAAATCCAAATCTATTTAGACATATTTAGATATATATACATAAATATATACATATCGACATTATTACTACGAAGTGTTAGGTATAATATATTCATTCCTTCCATTCAAAACAAAGGCAGTGCACCCCCACATAATTTCAAAATCAATAACTCTCAAACTGTGTAAAGGACCCACCATAATTAATTTTACACGTGCATCCGCCTCATCTGATTGGTGTCAGATGAAACGCAGTATCATCGACTGTCACGTAGACTCTTGCAAGCTTAACTAGCAGGGTAGGGCTCCTAGCATCGTCCCGTGAGTGATTTACGTTCCACAACGCTACACCCACCTAAACTTGTAACTAACAAACTTCGATCGTGAGTTACTTCCCCTGTGTTACTTTAGTTACTCCCCTTTTAGCAGTTGATCTTCAACTTGTTTTGTCCGGAAGTTGGTTAAAAAAAAAGTTTTAAAACTGTACTAAAACTCTGCCAGTCATAAACGTTCAGGTAATGAATTGGGATGGGCCGCGTCTTTTAGGAGAGAAGGCAGGTAAAAACAACACGGACCAGGAATTTCACACACCCTTCAGAGTGCGTGGAACCATCCCTCAATGATTTTTTTTTCTTCCCGTCCTATCTCCTTAAAAAAAAACTGCTTGTGAATGGAAACCAGCATTCTAACTAAAACTAAGATATTGTATTTAGTCTATCTATCTATCTATCTATCTATCTATCTATCTATCTATCTATCTATCTATCTATCTATCTATCTATCTATCTATCTATCTATCTATCTATCTATCTATCTATCTATCTATCTATCTATCTATCTATCTATCTATCTATCTATCTATCTATCTATCTATCTATCTATCTATCTATCTATCTATCTAATCTATCTATCTCGAGTAAAATCAAACCAGGCATAACTATCAAACCATTATATATATATATATAACTGAAACTATTATGTGCAGGTGTGCAGTACAATGTAGTAGTAACAATATAGGGTTGGTAGACGTAAGTACGAGCTTTCCTTGTCAGGGTTTCTTTTAGACATTTTTCGTCGGTTGTGGGGGGGGGGGGAGTAGTTAGGATGTAACCGGGGGGGGGGGGGGGGGGGGGGGGGGGGGGAGGGGATTACGACAATGGTTACTGTATATATTTAAATATAAATGATATTCTATTTTGTCCGGGGATGGGCGTGCTCCGATGCCCCCCCCCCCCCCCCCCCCCCCAGGCGAGATGCCTTACTAAAAAGAAACACTATTCATAAAAAGACTTTATTTAGCCATATCTCCAGGCTGCTAAGTTTTGTTTTTAAAAGAGTGTCTTGTTTGTAGTTCGCAGCAACAACAAAAAAAATACAGCCCAGTAGAATAATTGCCTTATCGTCGTTTTGACACTGTTCCCTTTACAATCTACAAGGAGGCCTTAACTTGCTACCCATTGCTGCTGATACTTTATAACCCGAGGCAGGTTGGCGTTGCTTGTGAATCGATTCACTGACATGTACCAGTCTCATAGAACGTGTTTTATTAGAAATACCACACAGGCAAATTAGTATACACACCAAATTAATAATGGTAAAGTTGTTTGAATTAACAAAACCACAAGAGAACGAGTATAAACGAGTGTATATTTACTCAGAGGGCTGAATTATGTGAGAAAAAAATGAACACAGTAATAGGACTTCGTAGGATGTTTTGTTTTAAAGAGACTAGACTTAATACGGGTTACTCTTTAAGACCTAAAGATCTTTGGGGTAGATCATGATCTTTGGGGTAGATGATGATCTTTGGGGCAGATGAAGTAGAGTTCATTTGCTCTTTTTTCCCCCTCGACATTTGAAGTGATAGTGTATTAGGCTCGTTTAAGTGATGACCCCCCCCCCCCCCCATAAAACAATTAACGAGTTGTCTATACATGACGTCACCGCTATTTTACCATAACATTTTCAACCTATAGTCACAAAGGCATACGTTACACACCCAATTACTATAAATCTAAACAAAATAAAAATATAAATATGTAGAATAACTTCATTTAACTTGAAAAAAATTAAGCTAGGCCTAGCTCACACCCCCCCCCCCCCCCACCAATGTAAATTATAGTCACAAAAAGCAGGACGCCCTTGCATCATGGTTGCTGACGTCACTAATGGACAAGCAATGCTCAATCCAACAAGAAGAGAAGTAGATTACGCTACCCCCCCCCCCCCTTTTTTTTTTCCCTTTACCTCAGCTATGTTTGTTCATCTTCACTGTAAATTACTCAGAAAAATATTAATTTTTGGTAATACCCTGTATGTCTGGTTGAATAGCCCCCCCCCCCCTCCCGTTCTGCTACACCGTGTAGCTAATTGAGCACAAAAACCATGAACGGGCACAATCACGTGTAGTCTTAGCAGCAACGTGTGGCATCTTAGCCCTTCCCTCAAAAACTTAAAAGATTTGATCTTGTTTTAAGTCGAAATACTGATTTTGGAGAGGAGAAAAAAAAAAACTTTGGTTTTACATACAAAGGAATTGTGAACATTTTCGCTCCCAAAAATATTTAAATTCCTGAAAAGACCAAGTACCCTCCTTTTTCTTGACAGCCCATGTCAACCAATACGAACCAATACGAACGTGCGAATGTGGAGTGATAAGAACGAACCAAACATCCAGAATAACTAATCCGGTACATATAAATGAACAAAAATAATCTTTTTGAAGAAATCTTTAAAAATCAGCCAAAGATCGCTAGGATCTAACGAACTTAGCAGCAAAAAAAAAAAAAAAAAACCTGGCCAACTGAACTGGCTAGCACTGCCTGACCCATTCACTAAGGGCGTACAGAACAAATCAATGAGCCTGTCCTCATTCATAGTTTTAGGCGTGTCGGTATTCTCATGTTAAAAATGTCTAACTGAACTCAACAGCAATGGAGAGGACACTATTCAAGATATAAATATAATTTCATATCCATCATAAAAATGAAATTAAAAATATTTTAATTTTACTTTTTTTTTGAGCACCAAAAATAAAAAATAAATAAAAAATGTTTTATAATGTAGCTATTGTGGACGAATTGCGGCAATTATTACACAATAAACCACATTTAAAATGACATTTAAAAATCTCAACAGGCTTTTGTGGTATGAAGCGAACCATTAAATAGCAGACTGGCAGGGGAAAAAAAAAACATAGCAGCATTACCCAGCAGTAACATCATGCTATGAAATAAATTATTAAAATTAACGGAGCATGAAAATGCTTGTTTTATTGCTATTTTGCACACCACCGGCAACTTTATCAACTAAATTTTAAAAAAAAAAATATAATAGCCGAGAAAAACGAGAGACTTTACAGAAAGATGAAAAATGTAACAAGCAGACTAGCCAGAATGCTCCTTGTAACTTCTGGACAAAAATGTCATTAGCCATTTTATAATTACAGCTATAAATATGTAAATTTTTTTTAACACCCATGAAGGTGAAGACACATTTGTTTTTTGTTTTAAAATATAACACCAGAAGTTTTTTTTGTAAACTACATGTTAATTTATGCAAATTAATTCCAAACATACAATTTTACAACAGTTGGAAGTAGAATTAAAGTGAAAAATGCTTAATGATGCAGTGAATTACTGAATAGCACTTGGTAGTAGTGTAGGAGTTTTATGACAATGTATAAACAAGAATTAATAAGTTACATAGAAAGAACACAAATATTTTTATAAATTATAACAGATGAAACAAGATTTTAAGTACACAACATAAGATATCTAGAGTAAAGAAACATAATAAATTAATTACTTATGATGTTCTGTGATATTTTAAAAAAAACTTTAAATTAATGGTCAATTATCTGAAGGTAGATAATACCTTAACCTTCAGAGTAAGAATTGTGATCAATGTTCCATGTAAGCTGCGTGGTTGCGCACTAGTTGGTAACCTGCAGCGCAGTCATTTTGTAAAATTATTTTATTATATCAGACTTTTAGAACACAGCGCACACACAATACAAGTCGCACACTTGCAATTTCCCCTTAGGGGGTACACTGTGACTGATATCTTATTACCAATACAAAAACTAGAAATATGTAGGTGTGCTTAAAATAAGGAGTGCCAAAAATATAACTTACGGTATTGTCAGCTATCCTTTCTCCATGAATAACGTACTCAGGTTTATGTTTGTAATTGTCCGGTGACAGCTGCTGGCGGTCACCGTTGTTATTGCCACCACCACAGTCTGATGGGGACAACTTGCATAGTCGGACTTTGCTGAGTCCCCCACCCCCCATAGGTACCCAGCCTCCAGTGGAGTCATCCCTTGTCATAACCTGTGCAGAAACTTGCACCAGGTATTCCCCACTGTGGACCAAACAAATTCATGGTTAGCAAGTGCGATTTTTTTTTTCCATAACATAAAACCACCTATGTAATCTCTAATAAATGAAACAAAAAAAAATCATTATACCCAATACTTATTTAGGTTTACTACAATATAAAAGAAAATTTTAATATACATGGTTTCTCCCAATGAATACAACTTTTAATATAATAACAAGCAATTTTAAATAAGCAACATCAGTCTACCACAAATAAATTATAAATAACCTCGTTATTCCCCAATGCAAAACGTTTTTTTATAACTGATATTTTTATATACAATTTTTAAGTTAAGACCAATAAATCTTCTTCGTTCTTAATTTTTAGTGCTGGAAGGGATCGAACTCGGTTTATCAACCATGAGCTTTTACAGACTCGACCTCGCTGACCCTTTTCCAACACAATTAAGTATACGTGTCAAATGGTTATGCGCCATTGATGCTGCTGACTGATTTCAACCAATAAATCATATTTTAGGTATTGACTTAACCACAAAACCAACTTTTCTTTAGCTTGATCAAATTTTTTAGAATATATAATAAACAAAACTAGATGCCTCTTAAAGGTTTTTTTGGAGTTTAAGTTGGAACCAAAAGGTTTTAGTTAAATCACTTTTTTTTAGTAGATCCCCTGCAATTTGAGTGTGTGAGTTTGTTGGGGTTAGTCATGTGCTGTTGTATTACTTCCCTAAGGTAGGATGTAGTATAAAAGTAGTATGAACGATTGTCAGTAAGAATTTTGAATAGAGGGCTAGGAAAGAAATTCACATGTATATTGCAAGGAGAATAAAGTACTAAAACATGTAGTCTGTTGTTTACTCAAAACTGACTTTACTACATGTTCTATATGTATTGTTGCAGCTTAAAAAAAACTTAATATATTTTAAACAAACTTCTAACATGAAATAAAATAACGGTTAAAAGTCTAAAATTATCAGCTAATTATAATTCAAATACATACAGATCTGATGATAAAACTTGACAATGAACAGTTTGACGAGCCAGGTATTAATTGCCACAAACTTGGATCACAATGTATCCACTTAAGTTCTGATATAATCATTAAGAAAATAGCCCCAACTAAAGCACTAGCACTTATTCATATTCCGAGGCCCTACATCCCACACTACTTGTGCACAGTAGTTCCATTCTAAGGTCAAGTACACTATGAGAAAAATGAAGTGGATACTATCTCAGTCACAAGTGATTGTTATCCTATGGTCCATATACTGTCAACGTCAAAACATTGAGTTAAAAAATATATTAAAAAAATGTTGAACATTAAAATGTGCCATTTGAAAATTTAATTGTATGGCCTGTTAAAGTAATTAATTCCGTAAGTATTATTATAATTAGCAATTAAGTTTGCATCTGGCAGGAATAGTTACTCATGGATACCAATACGTAGATGTACAAATGGACCACACATTTACAAAACTCAGAAAACATTTTTAATTTAAAGCATGAACTATTATACAAAAATATAATTGGATATAAGATGATTTAATTGGCAGCCATAAAATAACTACTTTAATTGTTAATCTAAAATTTTTCTCAATTATGTAGCAGATTAGAACAATCTTCTATTAATTGAAAAGAAATTGCAATTGTCAAACTTTTGAATGATACTTTAATTAAAAATAATCCTAAATAAGCTTACTTTTTATACGAGTTAATTATAATTACATTAATAAAAATATATATCTTCCAAATGTATGTAAAATAAAATGGATGTTTTTCTTCTACGCCCAAAAGAAAACGTGGTGGTGCAAAGCTGCTTGTAATGAAAAATACCAAGTTAAAAATGTTGCAATAAGACAATACTACTGCTAAACGTATGTTCACAGCAGATGGCGCATGAGGTTTAATGCATATCCTGCATTATGTAAAAGTAAGGTTTCTAATGCGGCAAGAGAAGTAGAGTCCACCTGTTTCTGTGACCTCTGCATATGAAGGGATAGTGTGGTCAGCACTATGCCCAGCTGCCTCTATTTCCTTAAAGTGAGTTAGGTACCCATCAAAGCTGGGTGAACTCAGGGACGTTCTACTAACTTCAAGCAGGATTCGACCTCAAGAATTTTAGGTTAGCAGTCTGCCGCTCTATAACTAGGCAAATACCGTCCCATCCTCCGGTATTATGTATTGAAACCAAATATTAGGCAAAAATAAAATCTATATTGTTAACAAAAAAAAAACTGATCAAATTGTTATAGTGAACAATTTGAAAAATGCCTAAATTAATTTCTTTATACTTGACATATTAGTGTCTGTGTATATAGTGCCAAAACTGAATATGCCCAATATACTTTATTGCCATATTTTAAATAAAAAAATAATGAATAAAAGAAACTTAAGACCCTTTACTAGACTTTTATTACTTTTATTTGGCTACAGACATAAAACCCAATGACTGCTGCAGATATACTACAATGTACCAAACCCCAAAGTTAACTTTATTATCCATACAAAATAATGAATAAAAGAAACTTAAGACCCTTTACTAGACGGGTTACTTTTATTTGGCTGCAGACATAAAACCCAATGACTGCTGCAGATATACTGCAATGTACCAAACCCCAAAGTTGACTTTATTAACCATACAAAATAATGAATAAAAGAAACTTAAGACCCTTTACTAGACGGGTTACTTTTATTTGGCTGCAGACATAAAACCCAATGACTGCTGCAGATATACTGCAATGTACCAAACCCCAAAGTTGACTTTATTAACCATACAGCTATGCGATCATTTAAACACAACAGTCATATCAATTATATTAGTAAGTAATTAAGCCGTCAAGAACAGTTCAGTTAAGGAGGCAACATATAGCCATGAGCCTAAGTAAGAAGCACATAACTTTTTAGTTAACAAAGGTATATTCAAATAATTGACCAAGCAGCCCCTAATGTATATTTATAACTAACAGATGCATGCTTAGAATATTGAACAGCTGGTGGCATGAGAGAAATGCCAACATCAAGTGATAAAAAAACTGGGCAAAACCTGATTGGTAAAGAAATATAATGCTGCATGTTGGGGATGGATTGGACACACCTATTGAGAACCAACAAACATCACAAGACAGGGATCATATTGGAATCTCCAAGAAAAGAGGAAAGTAGTACACCAAAACATCAGATGCATAAGCAGCCAAAATGTTGTGGGCCCGATTTGGAGGAATTGCTCAAAACTAAGTACAGTCAAATGTGTCCATATGCTCCACAAAGGGTCCAAAGTAATGATGATGATGAAATGTGCATTTAAAAATGAATAACAGCATTCAAAATTTTGTCAAACTGTTAGACAAAAAAGGATTGCTAAAAAACACAACTTTTGCAATTTTTTTGTTACTTTTTCTGACCAAGACTTATAACTCTAATACTAAACCGGATATAACAATAGTAACACATGAATAACTCTAGGTTAGAATTCTGCATAGAGTTAGCATAAATATTCACAGGTAATATTAGTTAACTGTACTACCAATCCTTATATTACCACTCCATTTGAAATACTTTCACTAACGTGAGTAAGGTAGCCATCAGAGTTGAGTGGACTCAGGGACGTTCCAATAATTTGAACCTGGATTCGAACTTAAACTATCGGGTTAGCAGCCTAGCGGATATTATTATTCCCATAAACCTTTAATGTATCTAAAACTGCTTAAATTGTCGTACCAGGAGGTAAGCAACCATGAATTATAAGCAAGAAACAGAGCTTGGAATTGGTTTCAGGGCCAAGTGACTATACCTATACAATGACTGCTAATCTCACTAATAATTAAAGGTTCAGGTATAAATCACCTAGTATATTAATAGACCACATAAAACCATCATAAAATTAACAGAGGGTGATTTATAATTTTTCTTTTTATATAACTTTTTTATTGGTCATCCTGACAAATTAAAGTCTGTTACAGTAATGCATGTTTTCCCATACAGCTAGTTTACTTGGTACAATTCACACCTGCTTCACTATTGCATACACAATACATTGTTTAGGTTAAATTTAAATTTAAAAAAAAAAAAAGAGAATCAACCAACTGTTGCCAATATCATACTGCCTTACCAATGACGTTAAAGCTCATGCTGATTCAGAAGGAGCCGCCTACACTAATAGAATTTAAGTTTGATGCCAAAATATTCTTTTAAATGCTTTTATCTATGTGATTAAAAATACTTATAGTTAAGGCCAGTTTATGTGCTTGATTATAGGAATTGCAAAAAGTTCAATTTATTAAAAATTGTTTATCTTATAAACATTTGCATCAATTGACAAGTTTATGAAAATTTAGTTTTTTGTATTGTATACATTGGTGTAAAAATTTGAAGAAGAAAAAATGAGATTTCTTTACCTGCCTCTACTAAATCTAACCAACTAAGGCTTATCAAAACTGAATTAATTAATATTTACCCATGATCAAACAACATAATATAAATCAAAGTTAATTTTTTAGCTTCAGTTTATAAATTCTGTAAAATTCGATAGGCCTATAACCTTAAGCTACAATAGAAACCTATTTTACTTAAATGAGCTACATAAGACAAATGTGGCGATCTTTAATAAAGATTACATGATGTATAGTTAGGTTTACTTTACTTTACAGTAGCTATATTATAATAAAAAGTGGATGTGATCATGTAGGCCTACATGATATAGCTTATAAACTATTTAAAAAATACAAAAATTTTGTATAGTGACACAAATATGGTGACCAATAAAATAATAAGCTCCTAATTACTTAGTGTTATATATTTCAATATATTCATAATGATTGTGCATTAGTATTGGACCGATGCTAATTAATTATCATAGTATAATTATAGTACTAGCTAGACAAACAAAAATATGTTCACATTTCTCACAACTTTCAAAGTAATTGCAATAGAATCTTATTACCCCATATCTGTAAGATTATACCTTACTATAACAGTCTGTATTTAAAAAAAAACTTAATTCCAATAACTCATTGATGATCAAACATAATTTCTTCATACTTTTGGGAATACTTTTTTTGTTCTTCATTTTAAAATACTTATCTGTATCTATCAGGCGCTCTGCCAAAATATTAGTCTCTAAGAATTGTAGTTAATTAAATGGCTGGTTGTTATTCATATTAAGGAATCTCTACATAAGAGGCTATGCTGATCTTATTTTTGATTCAGACCTGTAAATCTAGTGGCCATACAGTTTATTTGTTCCTGTTAATCCCAACAATATTATACTTAGGTCTAAAGATCATTTTTTAATCAGCTAATTTCATAATATTCATGTAAAAGAGTTATAATACAAAAACTACAATGGCTGTTACTACAACATTACTAGATCTACTTGAGCTTCAGAGTTTCTCATTTCAAAATGGGCCTAACTTTAACTAGGCCTATGGGTTGTAATAAAGCAGAAATATTTTTAGTAGACCTAATCCTAATATTATATGCTAATTACTAATTAGACCTATTACTAATACAGATAGAGCCACAATGTTTACTGCAACAAGGTTTTATTAGTCTAACCAGCTAACAAATGGTCAAAAAACTAAAAACCTTTGGCTAGGGCAGGGCACTAACTAGATCTACAAAATCTAGAATTCATTTTGCCTATAGTTGTGTGTTAAGACTAGTTAAGAGGTTATTTACAGATTTGTGAAAATAACTAGATTCTATTTTGGTTTTACAAATTCAACAAATTAGCTAAGCTGATGACTGACTAAAATAAATGGATCAGGCCTATAGAATACTACTAGATTCTAGATCTAGATCTAGAGATCTTTATGCCTCTTTCTAAAGTCTAAACTGTCACTGTCTAATTATTACTAATTAGTAATTAGGCCTAAGTCTAATAACTTTGGCTAAAGTACAAACTTTTTAACTAGATTTCATTTTACAAATAAGAATTTTAGCCTACAGCTCTGTAGGTTTGGCTATTTTTTTTTTTACTTCAACAATTTTAAAAAAAAGAAAACTATTTTAAATTCAACTTACGTTAAACTTAAATCCGTTTTTTTTGTTTTGGCTTGATTATATTAATTAGGGCCTAGATTCTATAAGTTATTGATCTAGATTCTAGATTTCTAGATCTAGACAATCTAGATAGATCTATCTATTTCGACATTGCCATACCGAAATAAATATCCTACTTTGGTTCTTTAACACTGTCTGTATGCTTGTGTGTATCCTTTTTAGTTTTAGCCAACTTATTTAAAAAAAAAAAACCAAACACCTAAGGACCCCCCTCAAAAGTAATTAAAAATGACAAGGTAAGTCAGTAAGATGTGTACTGTGTGTCTGTGTAAAGGCCTAGGTGAAAAACACTCCTAATTTTGGATCTACTTCTATGCCCTACTTTGGCACCTCATCTGATCTTTATTATCCAGTTGAATTAACATTAAACAGCAGCACCGAAGTCTCCAAACAAAAACACCATCGCCCCAACGTTCACTAGGCAATTAACAATCATTCCTATTATCTGGCAAAAAGGCCATGAATGACCACTAGCCGATGTTGAGTCAGTTTTTTCCACGCTCTAAGCCGTGACCTTTATCATTCACAACAGTTTATGAATGAACAATCGCGGACTAATTTGTGTACAGCACATCCCGTGTCGAAATACCGTTGCAGAATAAAACTGCAAACAATCTAATAAAGCAAATTATGTTCGAGAAACCTCCCTAAAAAATTACACTAGTTTGATCGAAACACAGGCTGGGTAGAAATTTAACCCTCGATATTGGTCTCGGTAGATAGCGGTGTTTTAGGTTCTGGTGTTCCGAGGTTCGTCCATGTCTGTCAAGTTTAGAAAAAGCCTGGTGGCTGAATCGGTCACCTTTCCTAATTTAGACAGCGGTTTTACGACACAATACACGTCTCTTAAGGCCTAAAGCCGTGGTACTTACTTGTCGGCTGACCCTCTTATCATCTTTGTCGGGTCATTTTTTATGGAGGGGCCTTTCTAATCGACCACATAAGAATATTATAGAAAAATATCTAGGCCCTATACATCCAGTTTACAAGACAGGAAATGCGAAGCACACAATGGATGGAATGATATTTTGGGTTTGGAAAAATAGTTCCAATCCCCGGAATGCTTTCAGGTCTAAAACTATTTTTGCAAGCACAAAATCGTGAATTTTAATAAAAATCGACGTAGACATTGATCAGGGTCAAATCGCTGCTTATTAAAACGTGAAAATGCATTGTTTCTATATGGGCGTAGTGATACAATTCGGGAGGAAAAAAATGCAGGATTTCAAATATAGTCCGAGCACCATTATGCAAATAGCTCCTGTCAACGTGAGACTAAGCTAGGGTCGGGATTCGAAACAGAAAAGATCCGCGATTATTATTTTTCGCAGTTAATTAATTACATTAAAATTCGTCAGCATATTTTAAACAAATGTATGGGTACATTTTTATGAGAATGTTTTAAGGGTTTTCACGCCTCTAACTAAGCCATATTCTCTATTATTTCTCTACGCGAGATGCACCAAACAGGCAAGACCGATATATCCCCCCCCTCTCTCCCTCTTCCCACCCTCACATTCTCTAGCACAAGAAAATAGATAAGACGAATAATATTGTCGCTTGATTCATGTTGCGTCGCCCTGCCCCTCGCGAGGCGGCTCGGGCGATGAAGTATCAAATGCCCCGGCCAGGCTAGCGTGTGTTGTTGTCACATCGCCACACTGTAAACAAAAAGGGTGAGGGCCAATTTTGTGAATGACACAGTATCTCAGGGCTGTGTTATTGATTGAACTGGTCGCAATTCATTCATAAGCAGCGCAGTGTACCTTACACGTGTTGGGCGAGGGATTTTAACAGCGCATTATTTTGCCGTTAGTAGTAGTTTTTATTTTATTTTAAAACGCGACACATACCGAGTGTGTTATCGAGTGTAATTATTGCTTTTAGTAAAATGTGTTACCGGTTATTTAAAAAATGTAATGATGGTTTTTGGTGGTATATGTATGAAAGGATATTGTTTTATATTTTTAAAAAATCTAGTTTAATTAAATTAATTTCCATCAACATGCAACACCCCCCTCCCCGTGAGTTCCACACACTGTTGAATTTTCAATTAAATCGTGATTTTAGAGGCTCCACTATTTTATTACTTATTACTTCAGGCATGTGTTTACTGTTATTGAAACAGTAACCTTGTATGTGTTTAACCCCGTATGTGTTTATATATATATATATATATATATATATATATATATATATATATATATATATATATATGTATGTATGTATGTATGTATATATATATATATATATATATATATATATATATATATATATATATATATATATATATATATATATGTATGTATGTATGTATGTATGTATATATATATACTGTGTAGATGCACGTGCACACAACATACATACACGTACACATACATACACATACACGTACATACACACTCACATGCACATACACACACACACACTTAAAACAAGAATGACGCCTTGCACAGTGGGCTGAGTTCAATAATTCCGGTCGTGAAAACGATTGTAGCCAGAGCTCCCAATGATTCGATCTGACGCGATACGGCACTGATATTGATTTGTGAGTTTGCTTCCAGGCAAAAAGATGCTGTTGGGGGCTAGGTGGGGGGGAGTGGTTGTGGGCTAGTCTAGGGCTGTTGGGTGGGTCGGGATGTAATTGCGGGCTAACTAGGCAGTTGGCAATCTGGATGTGGGTGTACGTTTGCTAGGACGTTGAGTAAGGGAGCTTGTAGTGAGATGTGTAGGGGAGCTTAGGTTAGATGTGTAGGGGAGCTTTGGTCAGTCGTGTAGAGGGGCTTATGTCAGTTGTGTAGGGAAGCTTAGGTCAGATGTGTAGGGGAGCTTAGGTCAGATGTGTAGGGGAGCTTAGGTCAGATGTGTAGGGGAGCTTAGGTCAGATGTGTAGGGGAGCTTAGGTCACTTGTGTAGGGGAGCTTAGGTCAGTTGTGTAGGGGAGCTTAGGTCAGCTGTGTAGGGGAGCTTAGGTCAGCTGTGTAGGGGAGCTTATGTCAGTTGTGTAGGGGAGCTTAGGTCAATTGTGTAGGGGAGCTTAGGTCAGTTGTGTAGGGGAGCTTAGGTCAGCTGTGTAGGGGAGCTTTGGTCACTTGTTTAGGGGAGCTTAGGTCACTTGTGTAGGGGAGCTTAGGTCAGTTGTGTAGGGGAGCTTAGGTCAGTTGTGTAGGGGAGTTTGGTCACTTGTTTAGGGGAGCTTAGGTCACTTGTGTAGGGGAGCTTAGGTCAGTTGTGTAGGGGAGCTTAGGTCAGTTGTGTTGGGGAGCTTAGGTCACTTGTTTAGGGGAGCTTAGGTCACTTGTGTAGGGGAGCTTAGGTCAGCTGTGTAGGGGAGCTTAGGTCAGGTGTGTGCGATAGCTTAGAGCCGTTGTGATTGCTTGCTTAGATCAGTTGTGATTGTTAGCTTAGATCAGTTGTTAACCAGTGTTTCTTTCATATATTTTATTTTTCTCCGAGGGGCGGGGCACTTGAGTTTTTTTCCGGGGGTGTGGGGGGGGGGGGGGCACTGACTAAAGTATATATTTTCTAAATAACATATATTTTTCTCAATTTCGTCCGGGGAGGGGGAGGGGGAATGGGTGGATTACTTGGATCAGTTGTGTAAGCTAATCAGTCAGCTGAGTTGGCTAATTGGTCAGTTGTGTAGGATAATTGGTCATTTGTGTAGGCTAATTGGTCAGTTGTGTAGGCTAATTGGTCAATTGAGTAGGCTAATTGGTCAGTTGTGTAGGCTAATTGGTCAGTTGTGTAGGCTAATTGGTCAGTTGTGTAGGCTAATGGGTAATTGTGTAGGCTAATTGGTCAGTTGTGTAGGCTAATTGGTCATTTGAGTAGGCTTATTGGTCAGTTGTGTAGGCTAATTGGTCAGTTGTGTAGGCTAATTGGTCAGTTGTGTAGGCTAATTGGTCAGTTGTGTAGGCTAATTGGTCATTTGAGTAGGCTTATTGGTCAGTTGAGTAACCTAATGGCCATTTATGTGTGTTAGCCGGACATGTATGTATGTTCACTGGGTTCAGTTACGTTAGCTTACAGTCAGAAAGTTCAGACTAGTTCAAAAGACGAAGAAGAAAGCCAAACGGATGATATCTCTCCTACATATCCCCACCCCCTCCCCTTACTTGCTGAGCTGTCTTCTTAGCGTTGTTAATGAAGTGATTTGAAGCTTTGTTTCTATTACTTAAAACCTCTTCGGATAATTAAGATGGAGAGTAAAGAAAGTAACGCCTACTATTTTTTATTGAGTTTATATTTCCACATTTCTTTTGTTAAGATTGACTACAACAAAGGGCCAAGTTAGTTATATATTTTTAATGACGAAAAAAAATTCCGATAATCGAAAAAAGTAGCAGAAGGCAGGGGCGTAGTGAGGGGGGGGGGGGTGCGGGGGTGCGGACCGCACCGGGTGACACCATTTAGGGGGGTGTCGCCAAGGCAAAAAATAGCAAAATATATAGAGAAAAACTTGAGGGGGGTGCAAATCGAAAGTTTAAGGGGGGGGGGGGGGGGGGGGTGGGGTGCAAATCGAAAACTTGAAGGGAGGTGCAAATCGAAAGTTTGAGGGGGGGGGGGTGCAAATCGAAAATTTGAAAGTTTGTCCCCGGGAAGGGTCGCTACGCCTCTGGGGACCGTTAAGTGCCGCACCGGGTGACATCCGACCTCGCTACGCCACTGCCAGAAGGCAAGATAAACCAAGCATCTTTTTGTGTTATTAGATCTACTACTCACATAGACATTTCCGTTTTTTAAGAAAATATTTTGGGAGTAGTGGCAATGTGTGTGTGTGGGGGGGGGGGGGGCTGTTGTTTAATGAATGCGTTTTTCAGACGGTAAAATACAATATAAATGACATGGATATTTATGACGTAATTTTTTTTTTAAACGTAGGCACAACTAAAAAAAATTTTTTTTCAATTTTTAAAAATCAATTAAATTTCACTTTTAAAAACTAAAGTGTTGTTATAAGTTTTAATTTTTAAAATTAAGTATGTAATTAGTGCTCCATCAGTCTACAGCAATGATGGAAGGTTAAAAAATACTAACAATGTGAAACATTGCGCTAATGACAAATATCTGTAGGCTATCATCTTCCGCATAGTGTAGACTAGACTACATTATGCCGAGGTTACAGAAACAGGTGAACTCTACTTCACTTGCCCCACAGACCGTCTGATCGAAATACGACTTTACTTTTGAAAGTCTAATTGAAATATAACTTTACTTTTGAAATAATCTTCTTTCAATATATAACGCATCGTAAGATTTTAAAAAAAAGTATTACATTGTTTGACACTGACTAAGTAGTGCATGGGATTACGTTGAGAGATTAAGTGCCATGGAAGCCTTCCCACAAGATGGCTGACATTTTTATTTATTTTTCTCTTTGACGGAATTCAATGAACCAATAAAATTTCAACAATAGTAAAGATATTTTTTATTTTAAATAAATACAAAAATCACTGTAGTATTGTTTAGCTAGAACAAGGTATACGGATGCATTTTCATTAGTTTAAGAAAAAATTAACGATAATTGCTGAAATATTAACCAATGTAAAAGATTAAAGTTTGCTTGTTGTATTAGAGTTGCCGGAGCTTTCTACATTGACTTTGTGTAGCCGCCATCAGGTCCCATCTTCCGATACCTCTAAGGCAGAGAGGGTGGGGAGGGGGGGGGTAACTTCCGGAGACGTCACTATAATTATTAGCGTAATGGCAATTATAATTGATTAATACTAAATCTATTCTATTAAAATAAATTGTTGACGGTTGTCATATATATCTCCCCCCCCCCCCCACCCCCAACCAACCCCCCCCCCCAACCCCTATCCCAACTCGCTCACCGCTCAGGTTGGCGCTGATTAGACCCTCACCGCTCACCGCCTATCGATCCAAGTTCGGCGCTCCCCAAGGACAGGTCACGTGGCCGCCGCTGACGTCACACGTAAGTATGTCGAGACAAGCCTTGAGTCGGACAAGACGGCCATTTTGG